GGGCCACAGATGTGCTTCTGTGAGAAGCTGCTGGAAGCATCCACCATGTCCAGCAGAGCCAATCCCTGATGGAGATGCTGCTGGGCCAATTAGAGATGGTGGTAATGCCTCTCTGATAACATACTTGAGAGAAAAGCAAAACAAAGTTTGGGGCACAGTTTTATATTCAGAGAAAAGGAGGAGGTGAGAACATGGGGACGTGCCCGTGCTGGAGTGGGTGGATGCCTGGAGGAGGCTGTGATCTAGTGGGGGACCCAGAGGAGAGAGAGGTCGCTTGCCTCCAGGCTGAAGCAGCCTGTCTTTGGAGGACTGCACCCCGTGGAAAGAGAGACATGTCACAGCAGTTTTGAGAGGACTGTGTGCCCTTGGGAGGACTCAGTTTTGGGAGGACTGCTGGGCATGAGATGGGAACCACATTGGAGAAGTTCACCAAGAACTGTCTCCTGTGGGAGTGGCCCCACAGTCTCACCAGGGAAGGGTTCCTCTCCCTGGGCAGTGAAAGCAAACCTCAGGGGATGAACTGACCAAAACCCCCACACCACTGTCTCCCTGCCCTGTCAGTGGGAAGGAGGGAGATGTCAGGGGAAGAAAAGGTGTTTTTAAGGGCTTAATTTACTTCTCATTATCCTGCTCTGATTTAGTTGGTAATAAATTCACTTTGTACCTTTAAGCCAAGCCTGTTTTGCCCTTGAAGTGTTTTTTCTCAGTCCTTATCTCAATTCATGAAACCTTCAATAAATTCTCTCTCCTCTGTTCAGCTGTAGCAGGGGAAGGTGAGTGAGCAGCTTTTGTGGGTGCCTGGCATCCAGCCATGATCAAAGTGCCACATGTAATTACAGAGGCAAAACCAACAAAAGTCATCAGTTTTCCCACAATCTCTGGAGGTCAAGTAGAGCGTATAACCTGCAGTCTCTTTAGAAAAGATGTACTCTTACTGAAAAGGGTGTGAGAAGTTTTTTAAAGTCACATGAATAATGATCTTCAAAACACTGCAAGAAATCAAACTTTTAAATGACACCTTAGGACTCTGAAGTAGATGTTCCTGTACTCACAGATACAGTCTCCTGCTCTGCAGAAACACAGAATTCCTTGTACACTGCCTTCATGGGATCATCTTCTGCCCTAACACAAATATTGGTTGATCCACATCAGGGTCAGAAAACCAGGTTTTGAGGTGGCTGTAGTATTTGCCCTTGCCAAGAAGGTATGTGTATTGCCACAAAAATTCACTTAGCTTTATCGGTTAGTACCGACTATCACAATTCAGATTTTTGCTTTGACAGCCTGTGAACCTAAGCCCTGAACAATCAATACAGATAATTATTTTACAAACTCTACTCCACCTACAAAGGGAAAATGTACAGCAGAAGTTTTACTGTCTGACAGTATTACAAGTGACTGCACTTACAGCTGTGAGCAAAGTCAGTCTCCAGTCCACCCACTTAATCCCCACTGTCATTTCCATCACTACTTTTTAAACTTTTTTTCCTCCTGTGCATGATGTTCTAGGGACTTTTGCTTATTCACTCAATGCATGCCTTGCCATAAATTCATTTGGGTTTTGCTTATGTGGTTTTTTTTCCTACTGCTTTTCATACTGCCTATATTTAGCACCAAACCCCAAAATGCTACCAAAATCATGCCATACTGTAGTGTGATCTGGTTGGTTTGTTGGTGGGCATGGGCAACACTCATTAGATTCCTAGGCTTTGACACTTGCCTCATACTCTCTGTCATACTTTCACCACTTCATCTCAGGCATGTTAAAACTTTCTCATCAGATTTCCAAATTAGTGGTTGGGTTTGTGTTTGCATTTAACTGTATTTCTATGTGCACTGAAAATTTTTATTAAAGTTGCTTATATCATATTAAATAGTTTTTTTCATCCCTTTTAGATATATACAGATATACTGAAGAAAATACATACATACATATATACTGAAAATGCATTAAATATAAATCCATATTTGCACATTCATCTAGGTATATGTTTACCTATGTATAAACACATTTATACAGCTAAGCATAGATATGTTTATGGGACTTTGCATGTACATCCAGGGTAACCAAGTGGTGTGAACTCCCACCAGCCAGTCACAGGCTCTGAGAGGTCACAGAGCACCTGGCTAGTCCCAACAGCAGCAGCACTGGAGGCTCTGGAAGAAGAGCCATGGGAAAAAGCAGGATGTCCTTGTCACAGGGGTCCTGAGCTACCTCCAGGGTAAGGGAGAAGGAGTATTCCCCCAGAGGTGTGGCACATGGGGGCATTCAGTAAAGGGGTATGGGCAGAAGGGACTTCTGGGGTAGCATCCCTTCTACCCATGATGTGGGTCTCATGAAGACATTTGTCATGTAACAGGACCACCCAGATGGATGGTCATGTGCCAAGATGGCTTCTAGGGCCAACTGGTGGCATGACTAAAGAGGATAGGAACGGCATCTGTCACTGCTCACCCTGTGTGAAAATCACCTTTTAATTATCAAAAACTAATTCCCACAGGCAAGAGCTGATGAGCTCACAAGAAAGTACTTTGCTGCTTCATAGTAGCAATAAGCAGAAGTCCACTAATTAGCTTCAGTAATTTCATCAATTGTCATGTCATGAGCAGAGATAAATGCCTTGGTATGACCAAACCTGTCTTGCTTTAAGTCCCAGTTTATAAGAACTTGATTGTTTTCTTTTTCCTTGCATATTTGCTCAGCACAACTGTAACACATTGCAGGAGAATATAAGCTGCTTTACCTGTATCCATTACTTCCACATCTTGATAGTAGAACATCAGATGACACAGACCTCCAGGGGCCAGGAATCTGTTTATGTGCTCTATCTGTTTGAAATCAGGTTAAGATCATAATATGTCATTGATTTGATTCATATCACAGCAGCAGAGGAAGCCTTTGCTTATTTACTTTTTTACAAGCATCAGGACTTCATCAATTCAAGGCTGCCATCAAGCATCACGGAAGCATGTATTGGTAGTGCAGTCCACAAATCTCACATATAGGCATACAGGCTGAGGAAGAAACTGAGTTGCTTTATGCTAACATGCTGATCGATGTCTTAGCACTTGAAAGTCTGGCCTCATCCATTATTTTTCTAGATCTGAGTCTCTCTTCTATGTAGTCCCTAACTATATTAGCTATCTTCAGCAGAAAAAGCTCCTTTAAGCTCATCTTCAGAAACATTAGATGGTGCCATTTGTGCTTTCTACTGCATAAAAAAAGGCTAAAAGATCACCAGAAGCTGGAAGAAAGACACAATTATCCCTCTTCCATTAATAACAAGCCTCAGTTACACCAAGATAATGAACTGTTATTCCAGAAAATCTTGGCTCAGCCCTCCAAGATGAGATCAAAACAACTATTACACTTCTCTCTTTCCAAGTGTAGAAATTGCCTATATTTTCCTCATCTGACAGCTATTCTCAGGCACTACAGTTTGCCAGGAAAACCATTTAGAGATAGAATGCACAAAGGCTGAAACAAATTCTGCTTTTTAATGTGCATGACGGTGTTCTGCACTGCTCATTTGCTATCTCATGAACTCACAGAAATGTTGGAAGGGACCTTTGGGAGGTCTTGAAGCAAGTGTCCTGTGTCACCAACAACAGCTCAGATCATCTAGAGCTTTTCCTAGACTGAAATTCAAAAACCCCAAGGACAGAAATTCCACAACTGACTTGAAGTAACCTATTCCCATGCCAGGGGGAGGGAAGGTAATTCCTATTACTCTCCTGGTGAAGAAGGGTCTCTTGGTGGCCATTTTGCGAGATGTGGATTTATCGTTGAAGCTATCATCTGCACCCACTGAGAATAGTTCAGCTCTGTCATCTTTGCAACCACTCTTCATGCAGCTGCAGGCTACTATTTGAGTGCCACTCAACCTCTTCTTCTCCCTTATCTCATTCTTCATGTGCCCTGTGTCCCACCCTTTCTTACTGGTCTTTCACTGGACTTTCTTCAGTTTCTCAACAATATTAGCACTGAAATGTAAATGCATAAATTGAAGGCACACTGATGGAAAGAGAATACAAGAGAAAACAAAACATAAAAACCCAAACCACAGCCATGTTTACTTTAGTGTCAGGAAGTAAAATATCTACTACTATCTACCCAGCTTTTTAAAAAAGTGATATTTTTCAATGTCTCAGTATCTGAATTTGTATTAGCCCTCATGCAGTCACAATCAGATCACAGAAGCCATTCTCTTTTGTCAAGTAGCTTCTACCTATTTTAATTTGCTAAACTAGATTGCAGTACAGTCTCACAAATGCTGCTGGCAGCCTTATGGAAACAATAACATGCAACCTTGTGGTTGCCAGAATTCTTGAACCTCTCTGTGCTCTGTACTCAAGGACTGGGAGACTTCACACTGTGGTTTCCACTATGAAATACAGTCCCAAGTTTTAACACATTAACTATAACCACTGGAAAGAAAAAATTCTAATCAATTTAAAAATCAATATCATTACAATAGGTCTTGGAATTAAGGACACTCTTGTTCAAATTAATTAAAAATGCTGAAAAATATTTTTTTCAAGGAGACTTGAGTGATCTCAGGTGTGAAGTCTAAAAACTCTCTCACCATGAATTTAATGGTAATATTAGTTCCAAAGTATACTATGAGCTTCACTTTCAAATTCATCAGATTACCTGGTTTCCATCAAGAATAGCATCTTCTACTTCTGCTTTGTCCAGATTCACACAAGAGGCAATGATATCCAGTAAGTAATCATGTCTGCCATCCAGATGAGCACTTTTAGCCTCCCTCTCATCCTTGAGCTTTTGCTGTTATTAAATACAAAATGGACAATGAAATATTCACGATCTAATTTGAAGGCAAAATAAAGAAAACCTTAAAATTTATGTTTAAAATTTATTTTTGAAAGTAAAGGCTATTACATTCAATCCACACATGTGATTTATGTTTTTATGGCACTCAAATAAAAATTTTAGAAGCAGCCTTTGTTACAATTTTACAGTTTGTTGCTGGTGTTCCTTTTCAAGATTTATCACGACATTTCTATCATAAATAATGTTGTACAGAAAGCTAACTTGTTGAAAGGCTTTATAGGAAAATAAGTATTTAGTATGTACAGCTCCATTATTCTGCAATTTGCCTTCAACACCCTAAATCCTTCATCTCAGCTTTTCAGTCTAGTCACATATGACCATCAAGTCAAGACAGGATTCTGACTGGTCTTTGTTATGCGTAGAAGATAGTGTAAGCACTCCCTAATAAAGACAGATGCTGCTGTAGGAAGCTAGGGTTTTATACATTATCTCTTTAATAGAATGAGAAGTAAAACAAACCACAAGCCTCAAGGTACACAAGTGTTTACAAATGTGCTTAACTATAGCTATTATACCATTCTTCAAGCAGTAATCCTACTCTTCTAATTAAATTGAAATCCCATATGTAACACACCCCATTACATTATAGACAAAACAGCCTTCTGGAATAGTTACTGGTATTATTGTGCTTGTGGGTTACAAGATTCAATATAATTTCATTTTCAAAAGAAATTTAGAATGATGTTTCATTGGTGGTAAATTCAATCCTTATTTTCCTGGTAATTAGGAGAAAACTAGTAACTTTATAAAGTATGCATAAGTTATTTATCCACAAGCTTTTTCAGAGCCAAAAGGAACTGCATAATATACTTTTTACCCTTATGTAAATACCTTTCCTACTTTCTGAAGGAATTTTCAAATACATGGTAAACTTGTAACTACTACCATGCCTTCATAAATGCTGAATGCACTTGAAATATTTCTCTGTATAAAAGAAAAACATACAAATCCTATTCTTTACAGAGATATGTCTGAAGAACACAGAAGCAGATTAATTCATACATGTACTTTGTTCTATTTTACCCCTCCCATACCCTAACATGGTCTCCAGTTTCCTGAAAGTGAAGTGTCATCACAGGACTGGATTTTCCTACATGTTTTTAAACATAAGTTTTCCTCCTTGTTAGACATGCAAAAAGCAACCTTTTTTTCTGAATCTGCTTCATTCACACTAGATGATAACATAGAATCCTCAAAACTATTGTTCCAGTAATTTGAACACAACTGATAGGACATCTTTAAGGGAAAAAAAAAAAAAATGCAACCCAATACTCTACCAATTAGCTTCTATTTAATACAGAAAGAAGCCTTTTGTTTTACCTAAACTACAGAGATACTACCTTTGTACTCTGCTTGTGTTTTCAATACAGAGCTCCAGATATATTACTATACAAGACTACATCTTACACTGTTTTTTAAGTAATCAGCTCCACCTATACAGATGCTCTTGACATGTTCATAGCCTCCATTTCTTATATAAGTTTCTGTTTGTATAGGCTGAAATCATGAGCACATTCTTCTCAAACTAAGCAATCATGTCCCAACATTGTTTCTGGTTTTTAAAACTTGTTTTAATTGCTGTGTCTCAAGCCTTATGACACATATATAAACTACTGTGCATAGCTATTCATACAGCACTGGGCAATATTTGTTGTCTAAGTCCAGCAACAAGAATATTCATTAAGTTATCACAAAACTTTAAAAGTCTAATTAACTTAAATTACTTTATGAACCATGCCTAGAGAAACAGGAAACTATTAAATGGTAAAGCTATAGTTTTGTGACGATTAAGACTTTAACTTGTATTTATCATGTCACTACTGGAAGATGTTTGTTTTGAAATGTTGGATATTTCTATTACTAATGCAAGTTCCACACATTTTTTTCCTGAGAGTTGCTAAAATGCAATGCAAGAACACTCAATACAATTCAAGCTGTCATGCTTCTATATTTTGAGGAGTTATCATTTTCAGAAACTTCCTTCCCAAATGAAATGTTGCTCAATCACAAACTCACACATTAGTTGTTGCAGTCATTAGAAGAAACTCCTGCCTCACTTTTAGGTTAAAAGTTAGGTTTCCTCTACTTTTCTGTGTAAAACATAAGTCTTTAGGTTGTACACTAAAAAGTAGAGAAAACCTAGCTTCAGTACTTTCAAAAGCAAGCCACTAATTTATGTAATTAAAAACACTAGGAGGCTATGCTGGAAACTGTCTTCCAGTCTAGCTTCTGAGCTTCTATTTGCATACTGCTAAAAGAACGAATTTTAAAGTTATTCTTAATTTAGGATTAGGAATCTCAGAGAATTAATTACAAGAAAATGCTGAGCTTTCTGCCACTCATTCTTCCCTTTCCCCTTTAGCTAACCTCACATCTCACTTCAAATCAGCATTGTTGTCGTGGCCTAAGAGGTTTTGTAATTTTATATCCTGCAGTGTTCACTACAAACATACATAGGCCTAAACAGAATCTATATCAAAAAATATTACCCAATAACAGGCAACTTTATGTAATTCAGAATTTCATAGAACACTGAAAGACTGAGATTTGAAGATGGAAGGATGCTGAAACATACACAGGATCATTTATTAGGTAAAAGAGAAATTGCTGTTACATGCAATAACACTGACATGCAAATCCTGAATAGTATCACCAGCAACTCTGATCTAGGTCATACATCAAAGCCTCTTCCTTATGTCCCATGATGTACGAGGATGCAGTATTTACAAGAGATAAACACTGTCTCAGTTAGATATCTGGAAAGATTGTCTAAGTTTTTTATAGTACAGCTTCAGCTCAGTTTTTCATGTAAAGAACACAGGTAACACAGCCAAGTTAGTTTGGGTTTCTTTAACCACTTTTGGTTATGAAGGTGTGAGAGGTCATATGACACAGTCCCACAGTAGATGAAGGTCCAAAGCTAGACTCGTTAGCTGAAAAGTCCTTTTCTGATGATTAGTCCAGTTACAACATGTAGCTTGATTTATGTTACATAAAACCTCAAAATTCCTTAATCCTAAACACTAACAATTTGACACAGGAAACTAATTTCAATAGACATCTTCTCCCGAAGCAAGAAAAGGAAGATATTCCTAAATCTATCTTTCATATACCTAAACCCATAAACATCTCACCATTAGTGTTAAGAAATAATTTGAGATTAAATTAAAATTTTCAAAATGTTTCCTAGCTGATAAAAAAGTATATATATTTAAACAGCAGGTACTAAAAGAGCACAACTCAGAGACGCAAGGGGTTCATTTTTTGAAACAACAGACTTAGAAACCAGCTATTGACTATTGCCAGCTTCTCCATTACAGACTGTAGCTGCAGATGCAGATACCCTGAATAGAGTTAGCAAGAATGTTGTTTAGTATGCAAGGCATATGCACACAAGATAAAACTTGTTCTGAACACTCTTTATCCAGCAAATAACACATTTTGTTGTCAGAATACTGCACAATGCTGAATTCAAACATGCTGAAATCGAAGTCTTAAGGATGAGCAAGACTTTACAGGGAAGTTCAATAGTGAAAGAGTCAAAAAGTAACAATTTTTATCATTAATTTACTGTCTTATATAAAATTTATTTAACCAGCGTGGAATTCCTTTGTCTCTCCTTTAACTTGCTAAGATCTTTTACATTACATAAGCCTTGCTCATGAATTTCCCATCAAAAGTAAACTGCACACCATTTCAAATATTTTCAAGCACCCCGAGTTCTTAATTTCCAAATTTCAATGTTTTTATTTCTTCTTTCCAAAAAAATACAAACCCTAAAGAATTAGGGCAGTTCCCTTATCTAACTCTTAAACCTCAAAAATCAGAGTTCTGCACATGTCATCACATTGCATTAACTCAGGAACAGTTTGCTTACATAACCAGCTTTTAAAATGAGTCTAAGTATCTTAATGACTTCTATAGTCTATTGTGGTTTCTCAATGCTAAATATTGCCTTCAAAATTCTATTCCCATCTTAGAAGTATGGGAAGACTGAAGTTACATTTCTATTTTCCTTCATGGCAGAGTCAACCCATGTTTTGTTGCCACATCTAACATCAAACTCTTTAGTGTACTAATATAGCATTTGTGAAATTATACCATTACCAGACCATTGCAACAATCTGGGCAAGATATAAGCAGCACTAGCCAAATGCATAAACACCTCCCAGTGCAAATTTGCCTTTCAAAACAAATTGTGCAACTAACATCATCCACTTATGCCTATTTTAAAACAATTTTTTTCTGTGCCCTCCCCTCTCAGTATAAACCGTTATTCAAATTCTATATTTATTAGTCTAAACATAGTTCAAAATTCAGTTTTCCTTACCTTTATCACTCTGCCAATGCTTTGTTTCCAAAGTCGCTTTCTTCCGGCTCTAAACATTGTACTATTCTATCTAAGCATCAAGCACTGTATTTCAGGAACAAGCCCTAATCCATGGGGAAAGCTTCTACATTCATAATTTTGTACTCTCCCCAACCTTTTGTTTGCACTTGTTTTTTTCCTTTCAGTAGCAATGCCAAAATAACTCTGGAAAATATAGTAATGACATTAAAAAACCAGCACCTATTAACCTTATCTCTGTATTTAAAATTCAGTTCTAGTGTGCATACAAATTGCTAGAAAATTAAGTTGCACTAGCACAGAAACAAGAGGTCTCTAGCCACCAGAATTTACTGCCTATAGATTAGACCTTGAAAGCCACTGCTACCAACCACAGTGTTGTTAAGGTGATACTGCTTACATACAAACACGGTTGGTTACAATTCGTCGTACTCAAGGGCACCATAAGTATTTGCAGAAGTCAATTTTACAACTGCTTCCCTGATTTGTGTTTAGCCTTCTGAAGCAATCCTTGTGTCAACAGGCATCTTTGTTTCCTTGTCACAGGTGACTGTTTAAATATACAGCAACAGTCAAGCAACTTTTAAATATGTTTTACCTACAGGTAAATTACTGTGTTTTCTATTCATGCTTTTATACAAGTATGTTCAGTTATACTTATTTTTCAGTTGTACAATGGTTGCTTAATACAGAAATTTTTCTTCAGCAAGAAATGTTAGGGTTTTTTCCTCCTAAAAGAGCTTTAATTTTTTTCCACTTCAGTGACTGAACATAATCCAATGTCCTCTTGAAAATGCCAAGAAAAACAATCTAATTATCCAGTATTAGTAACAATAAAACAGACATTTTACAGATATTTCTGGCTTAAAATGTCTCTAAATATTTCTGCTTCCACTCATATCAATATGGGCAATGTCTAAAAGCACTTGACAGCCTTAGCATTGACAAAAATCACAAGTAAAAACCATTTTCTCTGCATTATCTAAATTTTCCCCACCTACTGTAGTCAAATCCAGTTGTGCATACATGTTTCAAAGAGAAAGACTGAAAAATTACATTTAGGGTAAAAATTAAACATCCACAGATTTCTCTGAACCCTTTACAGTGTTACAGTTTAAAATTAAACACGCTATTAAATATTACATATAAAGTTAATTCCTATGGATATATTCAAACCACTGAGGAATTAATTATTTACATTCTGTTGGAAAGAGTCCAGAGGAGAGTCACTAAGCTGATCACAGGACTGGAGCAGCTCTCTTGTGAAGACAGGCTGAGAAGGTGAGAGCTGCTCTGCCTGGACAAGAGCAGGCACTGAGGAGACCTTCCAGCACCAACCATTTCCTAACAGGGGCCTGAAAGAAGGCTGGAGGGACTTTTCACAGCAGCATAGTAGGGACAGGACAAGACCGAATGGCCTTAAGCTGCAGGACAGCAGGCCCTTCAATGTGAAGGTGGTAAGGAACTGACACAGGTTGCCCAGGGTAGCTGTGGATGCCCAGTCCTGGATAATGTTCAAGGCTGGCTGGATGGGGCTCTGAACAATCTGGTCTAGTGGAAGGTGTCCCTGCCCATGGCAGAGAGGTTGGGACCAACTGTTCTTTGAGGGTCCTTCCAACCAAAACCATTCTGTGGTTCTATACTTATTTGCATGATGTATGCGATTTCTAAAGTTAAAGCTCAGCCCAACAGACTTAACTTTGCCATGCAGCAATAAAAGTTCTTTTTTAAAAAATCTAGGAGAAAAAACCCTTACTTACATCTCTTGAAAAACCAGTTAAAAATCATGCATCTTTTTCCTAAAATGCTATTAATTCATAGCAAATAACTTAGAGAATCACAAAATTATGAGAATTTTTTTAAATTTCCAAAAGTTATCTAGACCAGTCCTTTGCTCAGAGCAGGTCCCATTAGAGTGGATTGTTCAGAGATGTTTGCAAACTTAATATCTCTAAGGGTGGAAATTGTGCAACCTCGGGGGCTACATAACTGAGCCCATCATAACTTGACCATCCAGCATAAAGACTGTTCCCATCTAGCTGAAATCTGCCACGTTCCAGTTTGCGTATGCTGGCTCTCATTACCACAAACCTTAATGAAGCATTAATCAAGGGTTTAGCTCTGTTGTCTCTCTACCCTCTCATTAGACAATTATAGGCTGCAATAAGACCTCCCCTTAGCCTTTTCTTCCTAAACAAGCAGAGTTCTCTCAGTGCCCACCACTGCTGCTTCCCATTTGTCTATACAGCCTACCATCTCACCAGAGAGGGCAATCAGGCTGCTCATGAAGAATGTGACACTGGTAAATCTATGATGGCTGCTCATAATCAGCTTCTTGGTGCTTCGTGTGCCATGAAATGCTTCCAGAACAGTTTGCTACACAACCTTACCAGGAACAGCTGACTGGTGTGCCATTCCCAGGATCCTCCCTTTTCTCCGCTTCATAGACAACAGGACACAGTCTTAAGCTGCACTAGCGGAGGTTTAGGTTGGACATTAGGAAAAATTTCTTCACAGAAAGGGTGACTAGACATTAGAATGGGCTGCCCAGGGAGCTGATGGAGTCACTGTCCCTGGAGGTGTTTAAGAAAGACTGGGTGTGTTACTCAGTGCCATGATCTAGTTGGCACGGTGGTGTTCAGTCATAGGTTGGACTTGATGACCTCAAAAGTCTTTTCCAATCCAATTGATTCTGTGACAGGTAAAACATTTGTCTTTTTCTAGTTATCAGGAACCTCCCCAGATCACTGTGGCCTTTTGAAGAGAGATGGGCCTCAAAATGACACTGGTTTCCTCTCTCAGGACCCTCAGGTATATCTTATCTGCCCCCATGGACTTCTATACAACCAATTGGCTTAAGTGCTCCCTAACACTACCTTTGGCTACCACAGATAATCCCTCATTTTTGTTCACTATGCAATGAGGCTTGAAGGTCTAAAAGAGACAGAGGGCAAAGCCAGCTCATGCAAACTGATTTAAAAAGTCACTGAAAAATTCAGCTTTCCCATGTTCTTTGTTCCTTAGTCTCCTGTTCCCCTGATCAGTGGACCTACATTTTCTTCTGCTGCCAGTGTATTTAAAAACTATATTTTCCCTTTGTCCTCCTCACAAGTTTGAACACCAGCTGAGCTTCTTAACCCTATCTCTGTGAACTCAGACATTGTGCCTATATCCTTCCTGGGTGGCCCTGATCCTACTTCATCTCAAGCTTCTAAGGAACCTTGCATGTTTGTATTCATACCCTCTGTGTTCATCCATGCTGGCCTCCTACAAGGTCTCCTCTTCATTCTGCACATTGAATGGCCTCCCTGTGTGTTCCAAGGATGTTATGCTTGCAGGTCACAAAACTTTCTTCAGCCCTGTTTCCTACTAGGGAAGTCCTTCATGGGTTCCCACCAAGAAGATTCCCTTAAGAAGTCAAAAATCTGATGTTCTAAAGTCCAAGGTTCTTTCAGGGTTTTAAGCTCCACAATCTCGTCATCCCTGAAGATAAATCTTCTCTCAAACTTCCCCATCTTCAACTAGTTTCCTCATTTGTAAATGGTAAGCCTAACAGGGTATCTGTCAGCTCATTTATCATTTCCAAAAAGAAATAGCCTTCAAACTTTAGAAATCTCAGCCTTTTAAGTAACTTGGAATGTGACATTTTTAGAATTAAAATGACTGTCAATCATGACTAGGATTAATATAACCCATGAAAGAAGCTCATATATGTCTTAATATCAAATAATCACAAATCATTACCTTACACAGAAACTCTCCTTGCAGCTGTAATATATCCTCAGAACCTTTGGGGCAGCCTGCATTTACAGTACTAGATTATACACTGATATTGGTTAGAGTTATTCAAAGATCATTGAAGTTTATGGAATTTAACTTCCTGTGATCTTCCATCTCATTAAGTTATATAAAAGAAAATGGAAAATAATTAAGTGGTTGAGACAGTGCTTAACTGCCATCATCAGGTCACTGCTGATGGGTCAAAAGCCAGACTTCCAGCAGAGCCACTTTGGCTTAAACTGCTATAAAAATACTGCCTTAGAAATTTGCTTTACATCCACTAGAGCATTAGATTGGATGGCATATAATGGCTATGTAAACGGGTCAAATAATCCAGGTCAATTTTTTTCAGATTTTTGACCAGAACACTTCTTGCTGAGGCAGAGTTTAACAAAGACTCCTTGTTCTATCCCAGTACCAGATTTGACCTACAGAAACAATTTTATAATTTGGGAAGAAAAGAGTTTTCTCGCAGATTTTAACCAACTTTAAAAAAAAAAAAACTCCTCTTTTACCTTTATTTTACTGGTGATACACCATCAGATCTGTAATTTGAAGAACACATTTCCTCTCCACATGCTTCAGGTGTGCAAGATCCATGGTGAAGTTGGATTCATTTTAATAATTTAATTCATACATTAATGGGGATCTTGTATTATAACTGAAAATTATAGAATTATTTTATTCTTGAATAGTTTTAGTCTGTCATATGTCTCTGGCTAACCTTGGCTCTGCTCTGCACCCACCAAAGTATTAAGTCAGATCTGGGGTAAATTACTGCTGTGCAGATGAGTAAAAAACTATGAAGCACACAATCAACTGTGTCAGAGAAACGCTTTTCAAACTAAAATAATGAGTTCTACTATGTTAGGAATTATGAAAGTTCATTTCCCAAAAGACTTTGTTCATGTTTGAGTATCAAAATTCATAAATGGGGTAACATCAGACTGGAGATCAGTCACTAGTGGGGTTCTGCAGGGCTCCATCCCCACAGCATGATGGGAAGAGTGGCAGACACTGCTCTCTTCTCTGTGGTGACAAGTGACAGGACCCAAGGGAATTGCCTGAAGCTCAGTAAGAGGAAGATTAGGTTGGATATCAGGAAAAGGTTTTTCACCCAGAGGGTGAGTAAACACTGCAACAAACCCCCCAGGGCAGTGGTCCCAGCACCAGCCTGACAGAGTTCTAGAAGCATTTGGACAAGGTTCTCAGGCACATGGTGTGACTCCTGAGATGTTCTGAGTAGGGCCAGGAGTTGTATTCGATTATCCTGATGGGTCCCTTCCAAGTCAGTATATTCTATGATTCTATGGCGTTTATTGTTAGTGTTACATGGCACAGTTTTGGCAACGAGGGTTCTTTTACTGGGCAATAGTAGGAGTAGGAGATAGTAGTTAGCTACCATCTAGTGGTTAAAAGCTGAAAGTGTACATGATTTTCATGGGTTTTTTCACAAAATAATCGATATACAACTTGAAATTGAAATGTTCTTTACAGACGATCACTGACAAATCACAGATGAAAATCTACACTGAATCTAACTGGAGGAACTTAAAGCAAAGGATATTCTACTCTGCTGCATTCTCTTGATACAGCTACAATGCAAATAACCACAGCTAAAGGTAGACATTACCTTGAGCTGCTTTCAAAGTCAAATAACACTGAGGCTTTAATACCTTGAAGGCAAGGATTTTTAACTGCTCTGCTGAGAAAAATTAAAACTTTAATATATTTAGTGATTTCCTGCACTAGTAGGCACATAGATCACTTGTCATTCCAAAAAAATGCTTTTTGTCTTAAAATATCTAACAAGTGTACAATTTGTCAGCCACCTAATATCTTCATCTCAAAAATATTTTTAAAAAAGGGAAAAAGAGAGAAAAAGAAAAGCTGTCATAGCTGAAAATTACACTTCTTACTTGCCTGATGAAGTAATAGATATGACTAAGACATTAACCATGTTACATTGCTATTCAACAAGGATTTTATGTGAAAGATAGTACTGCTTAAAGAACAAGCCTACCATGTAGGAAGTCCTAGTCTAATTCCCTCTTCTGCTTTAGGCAAAACATTTATTCTCACACGCTATGCTTCCCTCTTTGATCCACCACTAACAAAATAAAATTTAAAGATAAAACACATAATTATATAATT